ACTATAACATGTAAGTTTCCTTAAAGTAACATTCTCTCTTTGTTAGTTATTTTCTGCTTCTCTTTTCTTCTTTTTATTTGAATTTTGTCTGTAAACAAATAGAGTTATAAGTATTGCTGAAATAACCTGACTCAGATATGTGGTCTGATCTGATCTTAATAATTCCTCTTAAAACTTTTAAAAAATAATGAAATAGACAACAGGCATTAGCTAAATCATAATACAAGCATCACTACAGGATTAACACACTGAAATCCAAGATTTAACAACATTTTGCCATAAATAGCAACATGCTGTTCACTTACATATTTCTAGTCCACATTCCACACATTATTTAGATTTAATTTTGACTACATAAAGCATCCCTGACAGGAGATGGCAAAGGTAACCAACGTGAATACTGAACTAAAACAATTTTGGTACTATTTACATGAAAGCTTTACATTTAATTTCTCTGACTTTCGTACACTGCTCTTTCACTAACGTGGAACAAATAATGAGGCCCAGAATTACATACTCCTAATTAAATAGCAGAAGCTGCCATTTTTCTTTAGAACAATTGTTGAGAAAAAATGAGGAAATGATCTGAAATATATCATTACTAGTTTTTTTTTATATTCCTTGACTTTTGAACTTTTGCTGGCTCCTTGCTCTCTAGAGGGTGCCCTGTTGTGCTGTACTTCCGATCTGTAATTTCTCTGACTCATATACCGTGTTGCCATCCATGACTCTACAGGAGGTTATATTTTTGATTTTTTGCATAGAGCTGCTTGTGTCCAGGCCACTGTGAAATCCTCTTGGTCCAGGCAGGGTTAAGAGGGTGCAGCCTTCATCCTCTTTCATGTCTACATTCTGAATCTCCAGCCTGTTCCTGCCCCTTGACCTAGTGTATGCCAACTCTGGCTCCAGGTATATCAGTATTCCACTGGGATCATCCATCCATAAAGAACAGTAATCTTGAATGTCCTTCAGACTTTCTGGTTTCCTAGAGTCCACTGGTCTTGAAGTACTAATTTTTTTGATCATTATGAAGTGATACTTCCAGTCTGACCTGGGCCTTTGCTTTCTTCTAGTATCCATTAAGTACTTTCTAGACACTGACTATTATCTATAGGCCATTACTCAGTCTATGTTAGTTGCAGACAGTCAATCAACCTTTCCATCGTCTTCTCACGTTGGATGCCTCCTAATCTCACTGTAGCCTGGGCCACCACCTCTGCTCTGGTGGCTGGTGAAAGAAGACAGAGAATTAGAAGCCCAAGTCTTTGGTACATACCTGCATAGATACTGGCTACATGCTGGCTAATGTCCAGAGCCTGGCTGATCTGAGGGGTCTGAGAAATTGGGAATTAATTGGTGGAGAAATTTGAGGAGTTGTCATACTCATGCAGTCAACAGAAGAAGGTATGAGATCTAAACTCAGGTGTTGGCTGCCCAAAACTATTATGGTTGTGAGACACACATTTTATTTCTAATGCAAATGCAGTGCTAACTTAATCCATAAATAGGGCTAGAATCCAACAATGCATACACTTATAAAGCTGTGACTTAATCTTCTAAATTCCATCTGAATAGTAGAAAGGTGAATAGACAGAACAGACAGTAGAGGTTGCAGTTCTATGATATGTTTACATACAAACGAATCGAGCAGTAAGAAATAGCTTTTAACATCGCCAAATCCTGTTATTTCTTTAGAATGTCTTTCTTTCTTTCTTGTTCTTAAGCAATTAAACAATTTTCTAGGTCTGTTTTTGTTTTTAATTGGAAAAAAACCATTCTTTTTCTCTTGGTATGCCAGTCCCCGAGGGATGTCTGTCTGCCTCAAATGCATCCAGAGAAGCCTCAGAGAAACCAGTCAATACATTTCCCTTAAGTGCATAGATTTTACATCGTGCTCTTTTCCTTGAATCACCCCATGCTTAAATGTAATTTCCTCTTTCACTGGGTGCATGGCAATAGTTACCTTTGGTTTCTTCCTTCAAATTATCTGTGGTTGTTGTGCTTTTACAATAACATATGCATTAATAATTTGCCTGTGTGTTCTAGAATATTTCATACCATTTAAATTATCCATATATTTTATTCTCTCAGCTGGTGAAGAGCATAAGGCTTGTGTATTGTGTATTTAACAAATAATTGTTTATGCAGCCATTATTTATATTTAGTAGTATTCAGGAAATTTACATTGCCTTTTGGGACTGGTATTACCTGGTTTATACAGTCTTTTGAGAAAGTTCAATACAAAAGACTTTTATAGACCCCTGCATCATGATAGTAAGTGTAAGACATTGATGATATGGTCTGAGTTGTAATTCCCTAAAATTAATAGATTGAGGCTCTAATTCCAGTTTAATAGAGTTATGAGATGGAAATTTGAGGAGGTAATTAGTGTCAAATCTGTTCACATGAGTGTTTTCTTATGACGATATTGATGATCTTACAAAAATGAGACGAGAGAGAGCTCCTGCTCCCTGTTCACATGTCTCTGCCTCTTTGCATCTCTGCCTGCTCTGTCTCTGCCTATCTCTTTTACTCTGTATTCTATAAATTACAGGGAAAATGCTCTCTGATAGCCAAGAAAAAAAGCCTTCACCAGAAATTGAGTTGATTAGCACTTTCAACTTGTCATACATTGTCATAGCATCTACAGCACACTAGTGACGATGTATTTATTTTACAAAAGACTGTTAGATTTCTACTGCATTCCACATTATGTTTAAAGAAAGTTTCTGTCTAAAGTTGCTTTGGTATATAGGACCGAATTTAGTGTTATACTTTTCTAGTGATGTGGAAACTCTAGTCTTCTGATAAAAACTGAACCACAACAGGATCTTGCAAATGATGTGCTGAGATGTGCATATTTATTATACAGAACATTCCTCTCTATGCAATACATCATGCATAAGCCAGAAATTGAAGTCTAGATGTGATATGATTCTTATTTAGAGAAAAGAATTGCAAAGACCTAGAACAATTTCTGCCTCTTGTTTTCCTCACTCTCTGGATTTTCAGGGTTTGTCTTTAGCCTTTTTTTTCTTTAAAGACTTTACTGTTGGAGTTCAAAAAGTCAATGCTGTATTCTGATATTTCCAAAAGAATGCTGCTGTTTCATTCTTTTTTCTTCCTTTTTAAATTTAAGTTAGAAACAATCTTGCTTCACAGCTCCTTCTCCCTCCCCCTCCTCCCCCTCACCCCACCACCAGGCCCCCTACTCTGATTCTCAAGGAGGGTGAAGCCCTCCATAGAGGATCACCAGAGTCTGTCATTTCATCCAGGGCAGGGCCTAGGCCTTTCCTCACATTCTTAAGGGAGTTGTTCTTATTACTGTAATAGAAATGGGTATGACTGTGTTCCAATGCAAAGTTAACTACAAAGAAACAGACTGTGCACTGGATTTGGTTGACAAGTCATAGTTTAGGCAAACCATTTCACAAAGGCCATGTGTTAAATATATCTATTTTTATAGTTCTAGCATGGTATTCACTAGTAAAGGCTATATTTTGATTCATATAATGAATTTATGATGTTAAAAAGGAAATGTTATGTAAAGTTTAGTAAGTTATAGAGAAATTAATTTTAATCTAAATTCTTTAGTTTAAAAGGAATAACTGGAGAGCCATGGAATCTGGTAGGCTGGAGAAAGAAGAATACTAATGGAAAAATATTATTAGCATGTTTTATATAAATACATACAATATCTTAGATATTTGAGATTTTTTATAGTATAACAAATCACTCTGTGGAGTATTGGTCAAATAACCATTTCCTAGTCCTTTACAGTTACATGTTTCAATTTCAGATTAGATGCTTTCTACTTGGTGACTATACTATACAAATTACACAAACTACAATTTCCCAAATTAGCTTTGCATTCAGAATCAATAATATCCACTAACAGAACTATTATTGGGCTGAAAATATTGGAATTAAGGAGTACAAGGTTCAACTTTAACTCTTATTTCTACTCTCCATTCTGTTCTCTGCTGTGAAGTCCTGCAAACATCTTCATTATTTTAAATCCAATATCTATTTATTTTTGTCTGTTTTCATACTGAGGCTCTTATCTGAGCCCCTGATACCTCGGCCTTTTATTGTTCCAACAGTGTCTTTGCTGGAAGCTGGACCCAAGTGTCTTATCATTCTAATTTATTCTGCATACACTGACAGATAAGATGTTGCTTTCATCAGACCTTGCTCGTTTCACTTATTGAACACTGTCTCAAACACTAATCCTGACATTTATAGGTCTCCACAAAAATCTCCCCAGGCTGCAGCTCACATCTCTGTGGCCTCAACCTACCTAATTTTCTTTGAGCTTATTAATTATGTTTTTTGTTTTTACCTCAAATGCTTATTCTAGGAAGATGGGACAAGTCAATTAGAAGCCAGTCCTTCAAGTCTTTCTCACTCCTTCAACTTCAAATGATCAGATTTGCAATTGCTTTTTGTGTTTAAATCCTATTTGTTGGGTAGGTGTAAATGATCTCGTTTCCCTAAGAAACCCAAGCTCCTTGGTTTCAATAGTCCCATCTTTTCACAACGCCCATGGTTCTCTCTGCACAGCCTCCTCAATGCAGTCACAAATGAATGAGTAGATGACTTAGAAAGTCTGACATACTAGACAACACAGACATACCCATTCTGTAGAATTTGTTGATTTAACTAATGCAACGTGATTACTTCAATCACTAAAAGAAACCATTTTCTTTAATTTTATTTTGCCTGTGACCATATGATGTCAATGATAAAGACAATGAGACATTGACAAGCTAATCATTCACAATTCTGGAATCAACCATGAATATCAATGTAAGAAAACATTTCTTTCTTTCTGAGAAAAAATGTAATTCTCTCCATCTCATGCCCATAGGAACATAGGTAAGGAAAATAAATCTCCACAGGCTGGAATAAAAAGATAAGAAGTCTCTTTCCTTGAAAGTTCTTTTCCTAAAGTTAATTACACATAAACCAGTTGCTAAATTGCAACTTTGTCTTCCCAGATTTCCTGAAACAGATATTTCTGGGCCAGACTGAACAGTGTGGGGTCTGGGCCAGGATTAGAAAGCATTGCTTAAAGACTGGGGGAGGAAGAGCCACCAAACAGGAAGCCAACAAATGAACATTCAAAAGCCAGGAGAAAGTGTCACTGAATAAGCCAAAGACAACGTCCCTTTTCCTAGAGGAAGTGGGTAAGTGTATTAAATATTAATATGTACTCGGTAGGACAAGAAAAGAACAGTCTATGAGATTTGGAAATGATAAAGCTAATGATCTTCATAAAATAAATTTCTGTACAGACAGTGTGTCTAAAGAGCAAGATGTCCTTGCTCATACTGTTGTTTCTGTGCCCTGTGACATTCTGTACACAGTCATCAGGGTCACGGACTGACAGGAAGAAGGAATTGTCTTTCAATGAAGACAATATGAGTCCAGGTCTGCAAGGCTTTTGTATTTTTAGCCTCAACGGGAAGAAGTGACTCATTCAAGTTTGTACAGATTTTAATAATAGAGTTTTGAATTATAAAGCCATCTCACATATATACTTACTTTCATCATATTAGTTATGGCTACTATTGCTTTGATGGAGCACCAGGACTAAAAGCAAACTGAGAATGAAAGAGTTTATTTGGATTATGATTTCATACCACTGTTTGTCATTGAAGGAAGTCGGGACAGAAACTGAAGCAGGGCAGGAATGTGTAGGAGGAGCTGAGGTGGAAGCCATGAAGGAATGGATTGCTCCTCAAGGCTTGTTCAATCCACTTTCTTAAAGAACCCAGGACCACCAGGCCAGGACGGCACCACAGACAATGGGCTGGACCCTCCCACATCAATAACTAATTAAGAAAATGTACCACAGGCCTACTTACAGGCCAATCTATGGAGACATTTTTCTCAGCTGAGGCTCTCTACTCTCAGATGACTCTATCTCTGTCAAAGTTGACACAAAACCAGCCAGCACAATCGTATCCAACATTTCTTTTAGTGGAATTCTTTAATATATATCTTTCATGTTCTGACCATTGATCTATGAATACTATTTGTGTGTGATTATATATTAAAAATGGAAGAATCCTACATTTGGACCAGAGTTTTTCTTTGCCACATATGAGGGTAACTAGATGAGGAAAGCTCACCTTTCATTTGTACTAGAATTGGAACTGAAGCTTGTATGTCTTGACTTCCAAACTCACCCATACCCCTGATCATTAGCAACTCTGTGTAGAACCAGAAATGTACATGAATTCACAATTGGTTTGAAGGAAGACTTATCAGTGAGTGGTAAGACTTTGCAGTACTCATTTGTTTTTAGGAAAAATTTACAATGGGAATGGTGACTTTGGTTCAACATAGCTCTAGTCAGAGTAATTTTTATCCAATATTTATGATGGAGATGCGAATGAAAGTTAGGATCAAAATTGTGTGACTATAACTCCAGACCAGGCAATCAGGAAAGGCAATCACTTGGATAGTCCCAGGCTGTCTCAAGGCATGGACAAGCCCCTGCTAATATATGAACATGTACACACACACACACACACACACACACACACACACACACACACACACACCCCACTCATGCACAACAGACAAAGAAAGATCCACCCATTTAAAGAACTCCTCTCTGTCCTCATGAAAATCATTGCACCTGGATCTTAAACCTAGAGCTTTTAATCTGCATGTTTGTTGGAACCTGTTCCCACACTCTGGAGGATATTCAGTACTTTTATTTTAATTTTTAATAAATCTGCATTTTTCATTACCAGCATGAGAGGGTCTGTACTGTGCTATCTAATTCACTGCTTGAGACACAAAAAACCAGAACATCATGTCAGCTCCTGGGACATCACAGACAGACAGCATCCCCACAGTAGAATATAATCAATGGAAGTTATTTAAGTAAAATGGAATCCTAAATGTCACCCTGGAAATATATTAATAATAGAGTAAAATTTATATTTCAAATGAAGATTTCTTAAAAGAACAATGTAAAAATAGATTATTTTTAAAGGAGTTTTTCTCAAGATTAAAAATAAATATTTTTTAAATGTAAAAACTAGGATCCATAGTCATCTATAAAAATAGGAATTCTGTCCTATACCTTCAAACTTCTGTATCATTATTAAGAAAATAAATACAAATAAGAGAACAAAACACATCTTTAGAGGTTATAGAAGGGTAGATGCATGTTCAATTACATATTAAGCTACATTTATAGTATACGTATTAACTATTAACAGTTTGTATAAGTAAAAATAATGAAATATCTAAAAACCAAGTTTACTATTTCATGCATGGGTATGAACAACACTCTCCAAACCTTGAAATTTATTTTCTATAAAATCCAGCATATAATTAATGCAAATATGAAAACTTTCCATCACACATAGGACTCTGCAGGATTCTTTGTTTTGTAGAAATGCAAACAGTCTGTACTTCACATACTGCCAAGTTTCAAGTAAATAAATATGCAATTTAAAAGCCAGTACGAAAAACAATCAGGGTCATGGATAGCCTCTGTGATATCAGGAATGTCACCACTGGGAATTAATTCCAGGAAAGTGACCCAGTTAAACTACATTGTGTATATGGACAAGTATGATGCATACAAACAAGGATGTATGAATCATAGTGATTTTTGAGATGTCAAGTAAAGTGTTATAAATTACCCATATCTAAAACATACAAATGCTTAATTATGTCATTATCTATGTCATGATCAAAACCCACACCTTATTTTCTTCCACCTATTAGTTAAGGAAGAACTCAACAGTTACATGCTCATTCCAAAGAACAAAATTTCAAAAGCTAAGTTTCTGTTTTCTGGTATTCTGTAGAATAGGGGAAAGCTGTTCCTATCTGCTCTGCTCTGTAGGACAAGCCTGATGTTAAAGCCAAATGCAACAAGGCAGTGGTGGGGGAGACAGAAGAATGGATGCTGGGGAAGTGCATAGCAAATTGAACATGGTTTGCAGCCGCCCACCTCTTGCCTGTCGTCCAGGCCCACAACCTTCCTGGGCTCCAGGGACATCCTGTTGAATGCTCCAAGGAACTAACTGGCACCTACGCCATTTGTGTGTCTTCCACCTACAGGAAAATAAAATCTCACTGAGAAGAAGCAGAGATGGCAGGAAAATCACAGAGATAATGTCTTGTTAAAAAATAGGTTATTTAGTTACATTTAGTCTTATCTAATCTACTCAGTCACCCCTTCTCAAGGCAACTTTAAATAAAAATAATTCTTCCTATGGCACTAGAGACAAGACTGTATCATTAACAGGTTCTGTAGAAAAGGACTTCACAGAGTGATGGAGAGCATTTGGACTTGCTATTCATACTTCCAAGAGATACCCCAACTGGCACCAGAAGTGTTGAGTTCCACTAAGAAAACTGCAGTCAGGTCAAGAGTCTTAACTATAGTACCCTTTTTATGATCACTGCAGGGGTAACAGCAACTGAAATTATATATCCCATAACAAATGCAAATTCCAAAAATCAATATGCTGTGCAAATATTCAATAACTTTTTTGGTGTAAAAATAATAATTCTATTTGTCATATCTGAATTAATGATACATGTATTAAGATGGCAAATTTATGACTGCTCTCCACTTAAATTATCACGTGTGATCACACATTTCATTAGCTAACGCCATATCATATGTTATTTTCATTTATTGTCAGGACTGGAATGATACACTTCAGTAAGGTTCAATGAGAAAGTTTTAGTCTTAATGGCAAAGAGACCAGATTTCCCCAATAAAATTTTCAGGTTATGTGTAGCTTCAGTGACTTTGACTTTCCTGGACTTGCTAATGGATCACTGGAACAGACAGCTATCTAACTGGCATTGCCCAGGGACAATGTCATTCCTGAGCCACAAAGTTCTCTCTTAGGAGAAACAGGGGTTCTTTGGAGACACGGGAGACCAATCCTGACTATTCCCCCTTGACAAAGAAGTCCCTTTTAAGAACATGTGTCTTGTGACTGTTAACTCCTCTCTGCATTTCTTACAGTTTATGTCAACATAAGGCATTACCCCTACCTACTAGAGCTTCCTACACAGCTGAGAAATTGACACATCTATTTGCCTTTGGAGAGGTAATTTCAGAAGTGGAGAACTAGGTGAGGAATGGTTGCTTCAGCAGCGAACAACCTACGCAGTCGGTGGAAGGAGTATCAGCTTAACGACGTGATTAGACACTGCCCAGGACACCATCTACTTCCTTTCCCCCTTCACCTGTAGCTGTGACACATGGGAGGCGCCTCGCAGGCCTTCTCTTCATATAACTGGTCTGAGCAGTCCCGGCCTCCATTGGCTGGCAGCTGAATGATGACCCGATGTCTAGACTGCTTCCTGGGTCCAGAGTTCCCTGCAATGAAACAACTTTTCAACCTCTGTACATTGCTCCGGTAACAGAATGTCTCCACAGCAGCTGCTGTTGAAGAAATTCCTCGGCCTGCAGCGACATGTGCTGTGACATGCCTGAATTTCCTCTCTTCTTTTACTAATTGTCTCATATACCGCTTATATCGGAAACCCAGTTTATATATTAAAATGTAAAGAATGAAGAGAAACCATTCCACAGTCAGTGAGTCCTTCTACTGTGCAGTTGCAAAGCAATTGTTCTTTTATATTTTCCTGTCTCCTTGAGAGACATGACAGATCTAATTAATCCCTTCCCCCTACTGTAAGTTTATTTTCATGTCATCTCATGTGTCCGTGTTTGCCACGTGGGACACATACACTTGTTGTGAATCTTCCTTAGGAGGGTATGTTCAATGCAATAATTCTATTTTGTTGTTACTCTCTTAATTTGAAACTCATAACTTATAAATTATTCCAGCTATTTATTATTCATGATAAGCAGCCTAAGAGCCTCTATTCAGGCCACATTCTGAGCCTCGTGCTCTGTGTAGAGAAACAAAAGAAGTTTCCCAGAGAAAGAACTTCTTTAGGGAAGTGTCAAAAATAGCAGCAATTACTGTAAGTAAATAGCTCCAAATGATTCCTAAAACTGGGGAAGAAACTTTACCTTCAAGAAAGGTAACAGTCTGATGTTGAAATTTGAATTTTAGATTACAAATAGAGGTACAGGGTTTACCAGCTGTGACGAATTATACCTCAAATTTCGATACACATATCTTTTAAGAGTGAATAACTGCATGGTACAATTTTACTCAGAAAGGAATTCTGTGGAGAATTACATCAGCAGATAATACAATTCCTGATGTATTTACATTATTTTGCAAAATTAGTAAATATTTCATATACAGAACACAGGAACAGCACGGTCTTTATAGAGATTACAAGCTTTAACACTTGAAGTTCAACCAGAAAAGAAACAAAGCATTACAAAACTTATTGTGGTTATAAGACAATATGATTTGAAAGTAAAATTTTTCTGACAACAGAACCTCTTTTCATGAACTCAAGGTGTCCCTTAACACACTGGTGGGCAAACAATGACAGCCATGCTTAGAGAGGACTCTTACACCAGATCGAAGAGTACCATCAGGCACTAGTGATTTCTGAATGACTCTGCTGGATAAGCCCTTTCAAAACAGAAACAATCAAAGCAGACAGCTGAGCCCAAAGTCGGAACGACTGAGTCAACATCCTCACACCAAGAGGGAGAGGGAACTGGGATTGACATGTAAAACAAGCTAATTAAAAAAAAAAAGAGTCTGTTTCATAAACCTTCCAGGAGCTTTGATGGATCGCCACAGAAAGGAAGAGCTTAGGACTAGCTGAATAGATGGATACATATACTTTGTTCCAATTTATGATTCTGGATTATTGTAAACTGTTAGCATTATTCCCATAGTGTGTGAATCATGTTTATAACTATAATAATTATGCTAATGAATAATAGGAATACTATAGTTAATGGAGTAGGGAATTGGGGACTGGAATTCCTGGCAATTAGGAATTGAAGTATTTGGGAACACTGCTCTGGCCTTTTTATTGTAACAATATAAAATTGAATACTGACTTGGATTTTACATATTTGGTTTATCCAGAGAAGATATAAGAAATGTCAATAGAAATCTAATGTTTCCAATGCTTCTCTAGTTATTATATTGTTCAAGTAACTTTTAGCTTCAAGTCCAGGTGATAAACACCTCTTTCAGAGTGAGGAGTGTTTTCATGTCTTGATGCTCCTCACAATCCATTATGTTTCCATTTTTCATTTTGGTCACTGAAATCTCAGAGCTAATTTTCCTCTCCATTACAGGAGTATATATTCTCTTTGCTATTTTTCTTGGTTTGCTTTCATATCCTCCCCATTCACTGCTTAGTTCCAGCCTTCTATTATTTTGAATATTTATTTTATTTTAGTAGGTGCTTAGGACTATTATTTAATATTTTAAGAAAAGAGATACCTTAATAGAGGGAGCCATTATAGGTTTAAAGAGAAGTCTGACACTAGGGAAATATGCAGAGATCTACAAGGATGACCCAAACTCAGATTCTAAGCAATAGTGGAGAGGCTACCTTAAATACCCTTCACCCATAATGAGATTGATGACTTCCTTATATACCACCCTAGAGTCTCCATCCAGTAGCTGATGGAAGCAGAAGCACACACCCACAGCTAAGCACTGAGCCACACTCCTGGAATTCACTTGTAGAGAGGGAGGAGAGATGAACAAATGGGTCAAGACCAGGCTGGGGAAACCAACAGAAACAGCTGGCCTGAAAATGGGAGAGCTCATGGACACCAGACTGTCAGCTCAGAAATCATCATTCACAGAACCAGTCCCCTTGAACGTGGGTGTCAGTTAGGAGATCTGGGCAGTCTATGGGGCCTCTGGTAGTGGAACAGTATTTATCCCTAGTGTATTAATGGAGATTTGGGAGTCCATTTCCCATAGAGGGAATACTCTCTCAGCCTAGACACATGGGAGAGGGCCTAGGTCCTGCCCCAAATGATGTGACAGACTGTGATGGTCCCCTTGGAAGGTTGACTCACTCTTTCTATGGAGCAGAAGAGGGATGGGAGGTGGGAGGGAGAGGGAACTGGAATTGATATGAGATTGTTTGTAATTTAAATAAAAATGTATAGAAAAGAAGAGTATATAAACTAAATAAACATCTGATCACTTGGTTAGAATCTGAAGAGGAATTTTTTTTACTTCTTTTCATTTCTCCCAGCCCTCTCTGTCCGTTTCTTTACTTTGTCTTCTTCAGTAGGAAAATGATCATCAGCATATAGGTCTTCTATTTTTTTATTTTATTTATTTATTTATTTATTTTTTTAGTTGGAGAACTAAGGAAACAGAAATTATATTTCAGTCATCTTTTGATAACATATCCATGAAACGCTATTAGCTAGGGAAAGTTTTAAACTGTATTTTTTTATATTTTATTTTCCAGTTTAAATTTAGATAAGAAACGAGGTTGCTTCACAAGTCAGTTATTATAGGTCTTTGTTTCCAGGGTGGTCAAAATATTTAGAGGAGGTCACTTGTTATCCTTCCTCAATTTGCATAAGGAAGTTAGACACAGAATTAAGTTTAAGGGACTGGAGACTGGACCGTACAATGAGCTCAGCACCAGTGACACACTAGAGGCTGAAGTTCCTAAGCATTAACTGTCTAGATGTCACCTGGTACATAGTCAAGGATATTCCAACTCATGTGCTCCAATGTCTGTTCTTCTTTTACTTTGTTTCTACGTTCGAAACACATGTTATTTGAAATACAGGTCTGTTGCATTCTTCTGGTATCATTTTATTATAGTTTTACACATGTATGCTGTAAATCAAACACTATGGGTATATTTTTCTTCTTTAATTGACTATACAGTGGTAATCCATTTATTCTTATACTAAATTCAAAATCTTTCTCTTCAGGTATCTATAGGACAAAAGCTGTGTCCTGATTAGATGGGAACACTCAAAAGCTGTAGCACTCAGAGAGGAATATTAATGGTGTTGCAAGGGAGTATCATGACATCCTTGTTTCTTCTTTGACTATAGTTAAGAACTTTCTTCTGTGTTCACTTTAGGATTCAATCATGGTATGGGCCAATAGCTACAGAATCCATGGAGCTAAAAAGGAGGATTAGTCATAAGCAGCTTTTGGTAGAAAACTTGGAATTTGATTGCTTTTTGTGTATAGTTATCCCCAGTTTATTAAATGTGTTTGAAAATACATATAGGGTTTCCACTGATTTCTTTGAATATCCACACAATTGCCCACACATAGGAATTGCTCTGCAAACACTTACTAAAACCATTCAAATGGTTTACTAGCAAGCTCTGTTTGTTTCCATCCTTTCCTTGTAATAAATACCGGGTCCTGAGCCCATATGTTGAGGATTAAGAAAAAACAAGCTATCATTCGTTTCTTTGGGAAATAATGAGCATGCAACTATAAAGGCCCATGCGGCTATATTTTTACTCCAAAATTCCTACATAAGGTAGAATAAGAAAAGGGAATTAAATGTGCAGAAATAACTGTTTTTGCAAGGTACACAGATTAAGAAAGTACACAATCTGTAAAACTGCTTCAACATTTTTTCACTTATTGCAAGACATTCAAGTATATTTCATCAAATAAAGTACTTGGGATAGTAATTCAGAGTAAAATTTCTGTGTCAAACTAGTCAAAGGATGAGTTGCCAGTAAGAGTAGCAATATGCGAATTGGGAAGGTAAACGTTGATGCAAGAAGCAAAATATGATGCTACTCTTTAGATTTTTTTGGGTAATCCTAGTATATGATTGGTTCATGGGCCAAGGAGAGAATATTGTTCCTGCAGCATTCTGTCTGGCTTTCAAGGCAAGCAGTGTGTAAAAAAATGACAGACATCGAACTTGAGCATTTAGATTCATGATTTGTTCAGCAGAAGTTACCTTTTATAAATTAGAGTAACAAGTTGTATCCAGAAATGAGTTATATCTTAAAGTTTCATTTTCAAAACTTATGAATAAGTTTTTGAAATTTAACAAGTGCACACCCATTTGAGGACCAAACTCCCCACAACTTGATATCGATCCTTATTGACACTGGTTCTTTTTCAAGGTGTATCATGGGAGAAGAGTGAATAATATTTCAAATGACTCATTTTTTTCATCCTTGAAATCTGACTTATTTTTCCAATTTCTGCAATACTACAGTATAATTTTACCTCTTTAAACTTATTTTTATAAGGAGGATAGTTCCCAGTTGTAGTAATCACAATCTAGAAAATACAAAACTCATAAAATTTAGGATTTACCTGAAAGTTTAAATTAAAAAGAGGTATTCCATTTCAGAATAAATCACCTTGGTCATTGCTGCTTATCGGATACAAAGCTTTGTTTAGAGCTTTACACTTATACTGAGTTCAGTGGAATTTCATTGGCATTTGGATTAGATCATTTCTTAAATAAGTAATGGGAAAATTAGCCTCGTGCCATTGTTTCATTGTCCTAACCACAGCAAAAAGGCGACCCTTCTATGATGCCACAGTCCCCCTTGCTCAGTAAGGGAGGGAGCAGTAATCAGGGGAGCAAGAAAAGCTTCTTGGAGAGCACAGAACGTCTTCCACTATTAGTTTCCTATCTCATCCCATTCCTTTTATGTCTTCAACACACAGTTAGACTTTTTACTTTTCAATCTAAGATCCTAGCTCTCTTGTTTAAAAAAATATATTTCAGGAGAGTTAGCATATAGCTTTCACTCAGTGTGGTAGAACAGGTTTGCTGTCCAGGTGAGAGAACTTTTGTCCAGCCAAGTAGAGTCCTGCTTATATCTTCCATCACCACAGAGGCTCTTGTTTCCATGCCAGGAGGTGTCTGAGCTGGTGACATTCCTGCACAGAGGGGCCACTATCACCACAGATCCAAGAACTGTCATCTAATCTAGTGGCAACTTGAGTCTTAACTTAGGACAATTACCTATATATGACCAAGCGATCAATCCAACTCATCCCATTATGCCTCACTTTATACCAACTCCACACTCAAATGTTTATTATCACTGAGATCCACAGCACTGTCTGCAGACTTAACCTATTACAATTTCTCATTCCCTCCCATCCTCTGATGTGTATATTTACACACTCATTTGGAATACCCGATATCTTCAGTTTCTTCTTTGAAATTTTCAGTACTTCCTTTAACAGATGTTACTTAGCTCCATGTAGTTATTTCTTATTTTATCCCCTTCTTTCTACCTTTAAATACCTCCAAACTCTCCTAAACTTTTGACATTAACCTCACTATCTATCTGCCATGGAGCAGTAACCTCAAGAAACTTCACGAATCACCTTGACATTTCCCTCACTGCAGTCCTCTATACCTCTGTTACCACTTTCATTTATTTGATAGCCACAAGTTTATTCCATTCTAAACACTGCATTTAAAATTATTATTCCTCCACTCATCTCACACTCTTCCCTTTTTATCTTGCACTCTTTTGTGATCTATTGTTACCTTTATGACCTTGATTCTCTCCCAATGTAACCATTATTATTTTATGTACTCATAACTGCCCTTGGTGATCCATCTTTCTCTGCTTCTCTTGTATTGTCTTGGAGAAATCCTAACCCTGCTCAAAGGCAATTATTTTCTTTCAATTTTTACAAATTCAGCTTTATGAATATGAATTAAGTTATACTAGCAGTGTGTTGAGGAACCTCTTTTGAAGTGCATGGCTAAATGAGATTTTGATATTGCCTAGACATTCTATCATAGACTATCAGCTTGCTCAACTTGTCATTTTCCAAGGTGAAGTTACTTATCTTCTTTACCCTGTTGTTCTTTCCCTGACCCTCATGATCACTGTTGGTGCTTTATTCACACAAATTAAGAGATTAGAAAAAAATCCTCACACATCTCATACCCCTAGGATATCAACTTGTTGACTGCTGGTACCTTCTATTTGGAATCAACCTTGACACATTGCATTCACTTAAAAAACATTATAAAGTGAAAGATGAAGGACTGCTTTTAATGAAGTAATGAGACATTGAAAGTAACAAACCTATTAGGAAACTGCTAATTAATAACACTCAGTTCAAATTTTCTAAGATAGTTTTATTCTATTGTGATCTGAATGCTTTTCCCAGAAGTTTCTAAAAGATTGCTTCCAATAGACCAAATTACAGCATTTGCCATGTAGTAAGCACATGAAAGCATGCTGTGCCTATCCTGCAAGAGCTTGTAATTATTATAGACTAAACTAAAACTAGAGCCCAAACAAAACAAAACACAAGGTTCCACACATAATGTGATGTAATATAATGTAAGGTAACATAATGTAATATGATGCAATGTAATGTATAGTCTTTTTGACTGATGTGATGAACAGTACCAAATACTTCAGAGGTCACAATCTATAGGAAGTATATTAGTTGATATTGACCAAAACAATAATAACCATATTTTATGTGACTTTTAGAAAAATAAAGAAATAAGATCACAAGGAAGTTCTCCAAATAAAAATCTAAGCAATATTGTAGAGGCTACTTTAAATGTTCTTCCCCTATAATAAGAATGATGACTATCTTATATGCCATCATAAAGCCTTCATCTAGTATCTGATGGAAGCAGAAGCAGAGATTCATAGTTAAGCACTGAACCAAACTTCTGGAATCCAGTTGTAGAGAGGGAGGAGTGAAGACCATGCTGGGGAAACAACAAAACAGCTGACCTCACCAAGTAGGAGCTAATGGATCCCAGTCTGACATCTGGGGAACCGTCATAAGACTGAACCAGGCTCCCTGAATGTGGGTGTTAGTTGCCATCCTATGGAGCCTCTGACAGTGGAACCAATATTTATCCTTAGTGTATGAATGGGCATTGGAAGCCCATTCCCTATGGAGAGATACTTTCTCAGCCTAGATACATAGGAAGGGCCTCGGCCCTGCCTCAAATGATATGACAGACTTTGATGATCCCCCATGGGATGCCTCACCCTTCCTGAGGAGTGGATGGAGCAATGATGGGGGGGGAATTAGAGGGAGAGGGAAGGGATTGGTGTGTAAAATAAGATTGTTTTTAATTTAAATAAAAATTAATAAAAAATCAGGAAATGGTATTGCTTTTTAGAAAATTCATATCACTAGCATTTTTCTCTTTTTTGCAGTTAAATTAACATTTATTAAATCATTAACAATTTTACAAAAGCTAATGAGAACTGGGGTGATAGCTTTCTTGGTAGAATAGATATGGACTTGGCCTTCAACAGCATACTAACAAAAAACAGCACGGTGCTACATATCTATAATCTCAGCCTTTGGGAGGTGAGGCTAGAAACATCAAAACCCAAGATTACCTTCACCTACTTAGTAAGTTCAGGGCCAACCTGGACTGAAAGACTCTGTCTCAAAAACAAACTAACAGGCAAACTAATGGCAGTCACCCTTTCTCCACCAACGCTACTATGAGTTTTAAGACATTGATATTAACAAAAAAAATATCTTCTTGTTCTGCTAGCAATTTAGTTTATATAATATTTTAACAACATGCTCTAAAACATAAAGGAAATATTCCAGATGTGGTGTGCACCTGTGATCCCAGGAACTAACACATCAAGGAAGGAAGATTGGAAGCACCATGCCTGTCTGCTCTACAGACTGAGGTCCTACTCATAAACAAAAATTCCCAAAAGTTGTGCTTCAACTATACACAATGATAATCTGTAAAAACAGTCAATTAAGACATTCAGAAAATTGAGTAGTTTAAAGTAAAATTTAGCAAGTTACAATAGTCATTAAACTAGAAATTAACTCTTATTTGCAAATCTCCAGCGTGAATCAAGAAGCATAAACGTAAGGAAAGTATAAAGTGAATGCACAGGCAGAGAAAGCAAACTAGACAAATAGGAGATGATGTTGTCTGTCACACTGAGAGAAAATTTGCTTTTATTGTGTAGGTCACATGGAAGGTGTGAACATTTCTCTCAGTAGTAATGCTAAAGACCATGTCCTGAAGGGTAAGGAAAGATTTATCAGAGGACTGACCCATGATAAAAAAGTCTTTGCAAGTCACAAAAACACAACCAAATCTTGCAGCGAACAAATACTCATCTTGGAAATGCCTCATGGCATATTAAGTGTTGGCAGGGAGTCAACTCGGACATTTTTCTCTTTGCTTTATTCACATCCTTGGGTCAAATAATTGATCAGCAGAAAACCTGGTCTCATGCCACTTCTTGCCTGTAAGTAGGTTAGAAGCTATGTGTACTGAGGTCACTGGAAACTCTCTTAAAAATTCACAAGACCAGCATTCATTCTTTCAGGATTAATGAATATAAGCTGTATTAATAAAATTTAGAAACATTTCAATTTGAGGTAGATAGTAAAAATTCAAGGCATACTCAGGCATAAAATTTACTGCCTTCCAGGTACTCTAATGTAATATTATTTCCAGGGAGAAAGTCAAATGTTTTGACACTCATAAAAAGCCAGGACAGGGCCCTGGAGAAGAATCACAAATATTGCAGAAGTTAAATACCCTGCTGAATGAGGGTCCTGGTGAAAGCCTTCACAATCTATACCCATACCTTCTCTGCATGAAGAGGGACATGGTGTCCAGTCACTGTATGAAGTCACGATACAATCCTTCCTACAAGGCAGCAAGCAAGGCCTTACTGTTTCAGGCCGAAGGCTTTCAGGACACCTAGAATGAGCAAAGAAATTATTCAGTTTCTAACAAGCCACAAAGCCAAGTACCGTAATTTTCTCCCAGTTTTCATTGCTGTATGAGTCATAGCCACCAGTCTGTATTACTTACCTTTCATGGCTGCTTTTAACAAGCACCATTAGGCTAAATTAATTCTCTTCAACTGTATTGGATAAGACTACACATGCAAATATGTGTACTTATTGACACTCACGCCATCTAGAAGATATGTAAATTCTACATCGTTCCCTTTAAAATAATATCTCCACTAGTAAATAGGTATTATCTGATACACATTAATATAAAAATTTGAAGAAATTCTAATTATAAATAGTAACACAAAATTTCTGTGTCTGTAGATAAATGTTACATAATAATAGGACAAAACTATTATTACAGATGCTTCTTAATAATATTAATGTCAAATGTATGTTTGTATGTGTGTGGGTTTGCATGTGATAGTGCTTCCTGAAGGCTGACGTTAAAGGTGTATGCCATCGGCCGGGCGTTGGTGGAACATGCCTTTAATCCCAGCACTTGGGAGGCAGAGGCAGGTGGATCTCTGTGAGTTCGAGGCCAGCCTGGTCTACAAAGCGAGTTCCAGGACAGCCTCCAAAACAATACAGAGAAACCCTGTCTCGAAAAAACCAAAACCAAAAAAAAAAAAAAAAAAAAAAAAGGTGTATGCCATCATTCTTAGTTCCATATTAGTCACCTTTAAAGAAATAAAGAGTGAGTAATAGTATGAACACTATTTGTGTCCATTAATTTCTTCGTAGCATATTGCTGATAAATCATTTTCAACATATCCTAAAATTATTTGCCTACGTGTCGTTTCTCACACACAAATATAATGCTCTTTTCTATTGTAAAAATGTGTTCTCTTATTTTATGTACTAAGGTTTATTTGGAAGTCGATTTTCAAAAATATTTAAGATTTAACATGCCAAGTAACAATAATTTCCCTGCTTATTTGAGGATAACCTTGAATTTTTCCTAATTGCTATGCCTGTCTAAAATATTGGGCAGAAAATATTTAAATATGAATCACAGAAATTGATGTGTTTTTATGATTAGATTTTTATAAGACCTGAGTTATAATTTAACTTGAAAACATCTATGACAAAATACAACATACAATCTAAAGAATTCTTTTGGGATTATGGAGCTACTGGTCAGTAATTATTATTGAAAGCAATTCTTTTCAATGGCAAATTTTATAACTTTGACAGTGGGAGGCCATTACTCAATTACATGCTCTTCAAATATGTATCCTTAAGTAAATCAATGAAATTTACAATGTTATCACTGACCCTCAACATAGTCTTTTAGTTTGGATATAGCCACAGCAAGATACACGGCTAACTGTGGAGAGCAAAATTACCAACAACAGAGTCATTAAGTGCACACAGGAAGATAAATTATACAGCCTAGATTCATCCAATAAAATGAATTCTGACTTCCTTTGGTGAGGCAATTGTTTTAGTCAACATGCTTCTTTTCCCAGGAACTGTGTGTATTTAGCATTTGCGGTTTAAATCAAAGAATTGACTCCCCCCTCCTCCCAATCTTACTCAAGGTCAAATTAAACAGATGTGATAGGAGTTGAAGTTTGTTACTTGGGAGGATAGATAAGATCAATAGCATTGATTTTGCCATCTCTGAGCAATCTATTTTATTAAGAAGAGTTTAAAACAAGGCTTCTATTTGCATTTTTGTTTCAAATGACTTGTATTGGAAAGCATTCATTGAATTTAACCTAGCATTTAGGGAGTAGGACGATAACATTTTCTTTTGAACTCACTGCACTTGGTTTAATTTCCTACAATTTCAAGGGCAAAGGAAACCCACATGATTCAAGAAGTCTATGGGCATATCCAGATCATTGAAAATCAGCTGCTGAGGCATAGCAATTTTTTACTGGTTGACTGTGTTCTGATATGAGGCATCAGGATGCCCCCCTTATTGAATGATCTCTTGACACTGGGTCCAGCAGGCTCTTTGACACAGCAGTCCTTCCACATGCACACCCTTCATTCCGCAACAGTACTTTACTTTGCAGCAGTTCTAAGTTGCAACCTTTGAAAGAACACTGTCTGTCAAACGGATAGAGGAAGCCTTTTGCAAATCAGTATATTATTGCTCATCCTGTCTGATCTAGTAAGTACTTCTATCTCTGTTCTCATCCTGGAAAGAATCAGGCTCTGCCAGACTTTTACCCCTGCTGCTGCTAGCACCACTGAATTTTAATATATTGCAAATTAATTCCCTGAGTCAGATTAATAGCAAATTTAGTGTAATTCCCATTAATATATTGGTTTGCGGTTACCATATGAAGTGTGCAGAATTATATCTTAATTTACGCAACTGTTTTTGGCACATATTTTCAAATATGATATATATGTGTATATACAAAACTATACCATGGAGCTAAATATCTTTAATATCTGGAATGTTAGCCTGATAAAGGCACATAATGGGACTCTTGTTTATCTCCATATGTGAGATAAATTATTCTCATCTTCTTGGAAAATTTTGTAGAACAAAACCAAAAATAATGCATCTGGAAAAGAGACAGATAAGGAGAAGGGAGCATAACAGGGATAGGGAGGAAGAGAGATGGGAGGAATACAGAGTAGCCTAATGCTTTTTATACATCCACAAAATTGCAAAGAACTAATGTTATTGATAGAAAAAAGCAAAGAAATATATTGCATGCTTAAAACAGTAATTTCCAATATTTAGTGAATGGCTACATCAGGTTATTTATCATTATATAATATGTTCAGTTATCTTTGAAAATCAAAGTCACTTGACTGACAATTTGGGGGAAAAAAGGCTACAGTTACACCTACATAAAACATGTTAGTTGTGCTTCCAACATTCAATATGGCTAAAACATTTGAGTCAGTAAAAAAGTTATTTTGTTTCAAAATATAAATAGGGATGTTCCCACTCAAAAGAGTATAATATGTTTGTTATAGAAAAATAACTAATTTTTCTCTAAAAATTGATTTTTCCCTTCATGACATTACTTGGATTCACTTATAATTTTCACAAGATACCCTTAACACCTCAAGCGTCCATTTGTCTTTCCCACTAGCAAATTGTTTCCCTTGTCGTCACCATTTTCTCGACCCATACGAATCTGATGTGGTTTTTTACTTTATTATAACAGCCATCTTATCGCCGGTCTCTCTGTTGGAAGTAAGTGGTTACTCGTTTTATCACTGAAAAATATAAGTTTGGCCTTCTTACTAATGATATATTATTTTCTGGGGAAAATGGAAGGCAGATCATAGATTGCTTCTATTCAATTAAATAGATTGTCAGCCTCTAAGCCTAGGGATATATAGGAGGTCATGGATAACCTCCACTGCTAGGACTTTGTATACTGTCATTATTGATCAGTCAAGCCTAGAGCAAGACTTCTTTCTCTTCCTCAACAGCTTAATAAAAGTAGACTATGCTACAATAGAATTGAAAAATTAGAAAGGTTTCTACAGAATTTATGGGCCCCAGGTACAAGACTCAGAAGTAGTTACAGCTTTATCAGCAACTGACACTAAAAACAAACAAATCTTCTCTTGGGGACAGGAATGACAATCATCAAAGGACCCCATTTAATGAAGCAAGCAAAGCCCAAGCCAATCTTCTGCATGACTGAACACAGGATTTACTGCAGATATTCTAAAGGTCCTTACTTCTTGGGTCCCACTTGGCCCACATTGACTCGCACACAGATGACTTTCCGTGTCTGCATGCCCACAGAGCACGAAGCTTCCCCATTCCATGTTGTAGTCGTATTGAAGGATGACACTGATGTGTCCTCTATACACTGACCCCATGGACCAGTTTGCCAGTGGTACACAGTGCATGGATGCTCATTGCAGCTGCGCACCTCTTGCAAAGCACTGCTGTTTGGACAGCGGATTCCACCTACAAAAATGGACAATGATAACAGATTAGACAGAGAGCCTAAAGGAAATTCATTGTTCTCTCTTCCTAGGAGCTTGAAGTGCTAATACCGATGAGGCTGACCATGTACTGAACACATGGTATGTTACCAGCAAACTGAAAAGAGAGCCAAATCATTCTTTTCCGTGTTCTAGGTGAGACTATAAAGCATAGAGTACACATACTACATATTGCAGATAATTTGGGACCTTAAGGAGAAGCCAGCATCAAGTGCAAGGAAGCCCACTGTATTGTTAACTGCAAGCAACAGACAACTTCACACTTTGGATGAAAACGTCTGAATGTGTTTTCTGTTGCCATCTTTTAAATTGAAAGTCTTAATCCAGGAATTTAAATAGTGCTTACTTTAATGCATTCGAGTTTAGGGTGATTACAAGCAAGGATGTTAAAATTGGATGAAAGTTCAGGATCTACTAGAGTATTATTGAGAAAACAATGGAGTGTTAATATTTGTTCAAATCTATGATGTCATTGGCTGTGTAATGGCACCATCATTATGTGTTCCAAAGAAAAACAGTTTGCAAAAATTACAAGAAAAGATAATTTTAAATTTCTCTACTCAGAATCCAAATCTTTTTAGTCCCTTTGAACTCATTCACACCAAAGTTTGTGCTCTTCCTAGTATCACCAAATAGTCTTAAGCAGCCGGGCGGTGGTGGCGCACGCCTTTAATCCCAGCACTTGGGAGGCAGAGACAGGCGGATCTCTGTGAGTTCGAGGCTAGGCTGCACCGACAGCCTCCTAAACAATACAGAGAAACCCTGTCTCGTAAAACCAAAAATAAAATAAAATAAAATATAAAACTCTTAAGCAAGCAACTAGGATTTATTGTTTCCTCAAATGGTCTTTAGCTGATTTTTATTGTTTCCCTCTTGCATATCTGGGACTGTTATTTCAGCCAGAACAACAATGCTCTCTATCACTATAGGTAATGGCAACTATGTTATAACTTCTGTTTAGCTGCTATGTTTCAGAAATGCATCCAAGGTACAAAGCAATAAGATGGAGATATTAAGTGGTAAGAGAGACATATCTCTAACAGGTAAACTGTGATGTGAGGGTTAACACTCTGGATTCATTTTTTTTGGCAGCCTGATTATGTGAACTTTATAGGCAGGGTCTTAATATGTGTTCACAACTGTCAAGCGAATAAATGTACAAACCCAAGCATCTTAAATGATGTGACCAGTGTACTAATGAGGAATGTAGGAAGATCACGTTCTTTTTTTCACCAGTTGTGAAAATAAAGGGCAGGGATTAGAGAGATTCATCACTCATGTCACTGATGATTTGATTCCAGTGGCAACACCAGAGATGATCTCCAGGGATTATGGATACTTTCAGACTTCCTTCTGATCAGCAGTTAATCAATAGGCAGTTTGTTAATAACAATTTAGAATCGTTTCTGCATTGTTGAATGTGGTTCTAACATCAAAATGACCTGTCCCGAACATTTTCATTAGCCCCTTCATGAAAGTAAGGGCATCTGTCATACTTAATATCCTGTCTCCTATGATACAGCTGGATGACCCTGAAAACCCTTGCATGGACTTTTAGGATTTGAATACACCTAATTTTTAAAACATGCTAATTGTATTGGGGAGAAATAAGTAAACATGCCTAGAGTACCTTCCTCCAGGTGCTAGATGTATCCAAACTTAACAAATCCATAGCAATATATATGTATATATACATATATACTTATATAGATATATATGTATACATATCTATATACACATATATACATATATATGCATATATGATTATATATAATTATTTAACAGGTCCTTTACATTTACAACCAAATTTGCTGATAAAATGCTAAATTTCTGTACCTACACCATTTTTATTGTATGTATAATATCATATTAAAACTGATTTTAAAACTCAGAATTGCTTTTGACACTTGAACAACATCAGCATAACATGTTGAGGAACTGCAAGAAAGCTGTTAAGTTTATAGACGTAAAGGCTATTTATTATTTCTCCCTAATCCACATTCAAGCCACATCAGCAGTTTGGATCTGATGTAGGTCCTTCCACTAATAAGCCCTAGTGTGGTCTTAATTATTACAGCATTGCAATTTTGAAAGTAAGGTTCGATGTAATCTGTCACTGCAGCATTACTATGTTGTTTGGGAAATAATTTTATGTTAGAAAAATTGATAAATATAATGTTAAAAGTATCTATTATCTATGAGAAAACCTAATTTTGGACCTTTGGGAGTATTTCTGTTGTCATGGAGAAATTATAAAATGTGAACTCTGACAAAATTAGTAATAAGTGAATTTTAAAATGTCTTCTTACATGTACAGATATAGGCTTTACACTAAAACTGTAAGTATTTTTTATATTATTTCAGCAACAGGAAAGAGTTTGAAGGACCTGATAAAACTTCTGTTATATAAGTAAACCTTCAGAGAGAAGGTGTTGGAGAGCTAGGAGGAGTTAAATGGGGAGAAACTATAATTAGGATATGTTATGTGAGAAAAAGATCTATTTTAAACAAAAAGAAAGAATTAAACATTTATGTACACATGAAATGGGCCAACTATTAGGTGAGATTGCTACATAAAGACAAGATCCATTGGGCTATTGAGATGACTCAATAGATAATGGGACTTGCTGCAAACAAGATGACCTGAATTCAAAGCCCCAGGGCTCATTTAAAATCCTGGGTGTAGCTGCATGATTGGCAACTTCAGCACTGTGAGGTCAGAAACAGAGACTGGAGGATTGCTAGGGCTTGACCATCTGAAGTGTATCACATAGTAATAATGCAGACCACTTGACATCCTTTTCAGGCCTCCAGTTTGTGCACAGGCTCATACTCCCACACAAATACACATGTGCATATACCACACACATATATTCTGTAAATACAAAAAAATCAAAACATATGATATGAAACATGACTTTTTCTGTACACATCAGTCTTGCAGAAGCTTTGTTAGAAAGCATATGGTGAGAATCAGGGAATTGTTGTTTCTGGTGACAACAGGAGCTGTCTCTGACTCTTTTGCCTGCTCTTGGGACCCTGCCATTCATACTGGGTCACCTTGTTCAGCTTTAAAGCATGGGAATGTGGGAATGTGCTTAGTCTCACTCCAACTTTATATGCCATGCTTTATTGATACTCATGGGAGACACTTCCTTTCCTAAACAGAAAGTAAGAGAAGTCAATTTGGGGGGTGGGAACAAAGGAAGGTTTGGGGAGGGATTGGGAGGGAAAATTGTATTTGGGATTATATATATATATATGTATAATATATTCAAAATGATAACTGTATACCTGTCTATGGAGTGTGATGTACAGTATCTTTTTGGGGTGCTCAAGGGAAACCAGAAGGATTAGAAATAGTTCACTACACTCAAAGATATTGTAATATGGTAATGAAAACAGGAGGGGTAGAGTGACTAAGACAAACATGCACATGCAGAAAATTCTATGTGGAATGTCAGAATTATTTTGAGAGGTATGTAGTTTAATATGATTAACAGAAGTAAGATTTATTGTGTTTTGGACACATGGGCTGAGGCACTGGAATGAACTAAGAAGAGCTAGGATTTTAAGTAGCAAGTTTCTGAGATGAGAAAGAAGAGATAATTTTATCTAAGCATAAGTAAAAATGAGTGCAAAAGAATTCATCTAGGTGTCGCTGGGTGACTAGTATACTGAGGTGATGTGTTAACTCACAGTGTATAGTTTTCAGGAGAGAGTACAGGGACACGAAAATAAGGAAATGGGTATGGTGTAGGATAGGAAGAGTTGACACTGTGTTTCTACTATTGGTTGTTGTTGCCCAAATCCTCTCATGGTAGAATCTGATTGGGATGAAGTCCTGTCCAGGGCATGACAAGCGCTTGGGAGAACTGAATCAAAAAGAGCATTAGCAGAAATAGGAAGATGCGTTCTTATTGTGCAGCCTACACAAATCCTCAGAAGCAGGAAGATGGGGAAGTGCTACTATCTACTTAAACATCGAGTGATATTCAGTATCTGTGGGTCTTTGAATTCTCTAAGAAACACAGCTGCTTCGTGGCTCTAATAATCAAAATCACTAAACTGTACACCATGAACATATTAAAATAGAACTATTACTTCTTCCAAGTTTTTCTCTGAAAAATATGATTCCAAAGGCTTCTAATTATTTGAGAAAATTGGCATAATTCTATTTCAATCTGCATCTATTCTCTGTGCTCGGCAGATATGACAGCACGCTGACACTTGGCTAATGAAGTTATATCAGGTCACTATGAACTCTGCAACAACATATGTCTTTTCATTTTTCCCTCTGTGAGGGTACTAGGGCACCATTCTTACCTTTATAAATGAAGTTTGTGGAAAACCTGAACAGGTAATCAAAAATGGAATACATTGAAAATTTAATATTAATGCTTATATTTGGTTCAAATTCAGCACACCACTACTTATATTAAATACAAGACAAATTCAACTATTGAAAGGTTTCTTTTGCAACTTGGCAACATAAATTTAAAGTAGGTTTGGGACCAACCCTAATTTACATACTATCATAAAGATGCTTGTTTAAAAGTCATTCAATGCTAAAGTTATTGATTTCATACAAATAGAAAGCAAGAACTAAAAATCTGACTCCAAGAAAGGCTCATGTCCCTTTCCATGTGTATACATGTGTTTTTGTCTATTCATGTCTGTGCAGGTGCATGCATGTGTGAAATTCTGGGTCAACCCCAGGTGTTGTTCATGTCTGCCTTGTGTATGTGATGATCTCTCTCCCTGAGACTAGGGCTTACTGATTAGGTGCTGCTACTGGCTGGCTAGTAGGTCACAAACATCCTTCTGTCTCTGCTGTCCTAGTTCTGGGGTTTCTAGCACACTCCATAACACCTAGATCCTTCTTACATGGGTTTTGGTCCTCATTTTTGCATGGCAAATACTTTCCTATGGAGCTTTCTCTAGCAACCTCTTGTCTCCACCTGGTTTGACTCAAAAGTTCTAGTCAACCTTCTCCAGTGTTCATGCCTTGATAAACCCTAGGTGCTTCCAATTATGATTTGGTTTCCTAATGAAATTTCAGCATGAATTATTTTGTATATTTTTTTTGTGTATTGCTGATACTAGGCAGTATGGTGATACCTAAGATTGTATGAGAAGAAAAGATACACAAATAATTTCTTTTAAATTTTTTGAGCCACCTTCATAATTGTATCACATAGTCAACAATTATTTTCATGGATCATCTGTGAGATGTTGATGAATGAGGATCATCACTCTGAACAATTTTGTGTGTATTTCCTGCATGTAAGTAAGTAAGCACATCCAATACTCCTTGCCCCATCCAAACATGCAACTATCCCCTAAACCTCATTGCACAGGATTTAATTCAGAGTCGAGCATCACATTTAGACATCTTGTTCATTGTTGGTCTCCTTTAATTGGAAATATTTCTTCTGTACTTCCTTAGTTTTTATAGGCAGTTCTGAAGATTTGGCATTCATTATTTTACAATTATATAGCAACTTTCCAGAGTAGAATTCTATGAATGAATTTCTGGCAAGGTGTCTCAGAACTATGGGGCCTGGTAGTGGATCAGTATTTATCCCTAGTTTATGAATGGACTTTGGGAGCCCATTCCACATAGAGGGTTACTCTCTCAGCCTAGACACAAGGGAGAGGGCCTAGGCCCTGCTGTAAATGATATGACAAATTTTGTAGATCCCCCATGGAAGGTCTCACCCTCCCTGGGGAGCAGAAAGGGCAGGGGAGGAGAGGAGGGAGAAGAAACTGGGATTGACATGTAAAACAAGCTTGTTTTTAATTTAAATAAAAAAATAAAAAAGAAGTAATTCCATGTTGTTATTGCAGAAAGTCCAGGAGATGAAGTTCTGAGCTGCTCCTATGCTCTCAATTACTTGAATCACTAAACGAAGGTAGATTTATTTCTTTTAAAAACATCTCTATTTGTATTTATATGTGTGTGCCTGTGTGTATGCATACCACAGTATTTGTTGGTTCCTGAGAAGCCAGGGTGGGTTTCAGGTTCACTAAAGCCAGAGTTTTGTGAACTGCCCAACCTGGATATAGGAGCTAAAGTGTGATTCTCTAGAAGAGCATCAAGTGCTCTTAACTACTGAAGCATCTCTCCAGCTCCCTTCCTACAGCGTGATATTCTGCAGATAGAACACCTAGTAACAGGACTGTCTCTCCTTAACTGGAAGCAATTATTGTATGGCAGGAAGTAGGCTGCCACAAGAATAAAAGTCATCTCTGGAACGTGGTGGTGGTGGTGATTTACAAAATCAAGAATTTTCCAGGATCTTGCCATAGCAGACCTGGAACACTATAAACCAAATTACAGTCAGGTCAAAGATTAAATTGTGTGTATCTCTTGATGTGTCACAACTATTCCCCCTTTTAAACCCTTATTCACATTAATAACTAGAAATAAATTGCTAAAGGTTAGGTCCCTTGCCATCACGGTATAGCTACATTTATTAACATTTTACTATATATTTTTCTCCTTTTTCTGAACATAATCTATTAAAGCTAGAGGTGCTGCTTGACAAGTCAAGAAACATTAACTTTCCCTCTGAAAGTTTCTATTTTGTCGTGATGTTCAGATTACTTGGGGCAAGATAACCCTCTGTACTATTGTAGCACAAATAATAAAAATCCAGAGACAAATTTTGGGGTTCAAGCTGAAGATCAGAAAAGCAAAGCAAATAATAACTAGAGAGTTCTTACCTTCACCAAGGATGGGACGATCCTTTCCTCAGCATGACTGCAGACTGAATACACTGCACTCCTGTCTCCATGCACCTTATATTCCTCTCTAGTGCTGGGGATTAAAGGTGTGCACCACCACCACCCAGCTTCTATGGCTAAATAGTGTGGCTGTTGGGATTAAAGGTGTGTGCCACCACTGTCTGACCTCTTTGGCTGAGTAGTATGGCTAGCTTTGTTTTTCTGATCTTCAAGCAAGCTTTTTTGTAAGATCATGAAGTATCACCACAGCCTATACAGTTCAGTAACAGTTACAGTTTTGGTCAAATAGAATCAGAAAACAAGATCTGAGACTAGAGATATAGCTCGAAGATAGAGCACAAAGGTCTGGTTCAAACTCTAGTACGCATGGCTGACTTCCTACTATATTACAGAAACCCCACACCTATGCATCTGCCATATACACATTGTCCTTTCTTTTCTTTTTTCTTTCTTCTTTTTTTCTTTCTTTTTTCTTCCTTTCTCTCTTTCATTTAGAAAATTGTATAATCTTATCTCTAAATACTACACATCACTTTTATCTTTTGTTTTCCTATAAAATTATCACAGAGGTTCCATTAAAAAATACTATGACACATTCCAAGCTCCAATTTCTGTAGAATAATAAAATTCCTACATTTGTTGAATATGTCACTGATAAGAACGCATAGCTTATGACTTCGTATAGATGTAGTTCTCTCAAAAGAGAAAATAAAGCCCTTTTAAAGCTCAGTATCATAATAGTCTCATTTCCCTGATGACAAAATGTTGTTTTCATATCTACCAAATAACAGGTATTAAGAAATTTATTTGCAGATGAGTTCTCCATTGAGTGTCTCACACAATTATACTATGTTTTGTAAATGTCATTGACAGAGAAAGACAGTAAGACATCCACTTACAGACATTCAGTCTGCTTTGTACTTTGCATGGTTTGTATACATGCTTTTATGGTATACTACACAAACATCTGTAGCCTCCCAGGATGACTGGATTAGGATGCAGCTACTAGACTTAATTAGAAATTATTGAACACCCACCCTTTCAAATTAAGTGGATGATATATATCAAATACTAACCATGAGTTTCTGCCTTTAAAACATTCAAGACCTTTCAGTGTGAAGTGTCTCATCTATAGATGTAATGATCTGCTGCAGATTTGCAAGCACAGCAAAATCCTTGCTATGTGACTCGGGGTGAAAAGTCACTCATTACTAGTCACACAGCAAATGTCTGCCAAGTATAATGGGTTTACAGGAGGAGGGTGACCACAGATGTAATTTTAATGAAACCCAAGACATAATCTGATCTGATAGAGTTTGATGTCTGAAGGTAGTCTCTTCCACCTGGAGGTATTTTTGAGAACACAGAAAAGTAATGTTTATTTTTTTCTCTAAAATTTGTATTGTTTCTAAAAGTTTTCTATTTTTTAAGCAAACAATTATATTTATAGTGGGAAATATCTGAGGTCTCTATAAAATTACGAAATTTCCTTAAGGGTAACTTTTATATATAATATGTTGCACTTGTGTATTAAAGCCAAGGTTATTATTTACTCTGCATAATTGTCAGGTAAAATAATAGCAAATATTGCTAGATAAGATTATGAGATACTATGACCAAAATGCCTGAAAAAATAAAAATGCACAAATGACCTAAAATCAATCAAAATAAATTAATGTTAGGGATTAATAGCTGTGTCTGCTTACTAAAAAGAGAAATAGTGATCTATCCTCCATAAATATGAATAAGGAGAAGTGTCACTTACTGTGGGATGCTTCAGCGGCACACCTGAATCCCTAAATAGCATTGCCTCAGTGTGAAACAACTTGACTCCCATGCTTTCCAACTCCTCTGTCATCTTCCAGAAATACAAGACTTTGACACTGTCTCACCCAGTCACACAGAGGACAAATTAGCATTTGGAGAGCAGCTCAGAAGCAATTGCTGCCTTGGCAATAAAGCTTGTGGGTGAGGTGTCATCTGTGGTAACCATGTCTTATTCACCCCATAGGGTGAGTCCATGTTTCAGTTCTGTGAATCTCAGGGCCTGTGCTCATAAGTACAAGTGGTAGAGGATACACACTGTGTTCAACTAAGTCATAGCCATGATAAAATTTAAAGTAAACTTCCTCGTTATGCATACACGGCAATTTTAGACTGTGAATGGCTAAAACTAACTACTGAAACAGAAAAAAGAGGAGTGCTTGGATTTTTAAAATCCATTTCTCAATTTCCCCTATGTTGCACACTTTGGAGTAGAAGGAACATGAATTATTAGGTGAATGGAAAAAAAACAAATTTCTTTAAAAATCCTTTGTTATTCATTTAGATCTATTTTCAAGGTTAATTATTCAGAATTAATTAATCTGTCAAGCCACATGGGCAGATAGTAAATGTCTTCCATGGCTAGATTTCTGTCAGCCCATTTTCATATAATGCCATCTTATACAGGCTATACAAAGTAAATGGTCATTAGTTTTCAGAAGAAAGGGAAGTAAGAGATCTTACCTTCTTCACCTGCATAGGCCAGAATGGAGCGAGCTCGGATCTGTTTCCCTTCTGTGGTTTTCCCGGAGCAGGTGTGTGAACAGGAGGACCATGTGGACCATGCACTGAGCACACAGTCCTTTGGGCACGGAGCATCGCAGGCCACAGGAATGGGAAAGATTGCATCTCTGCATAGGTGTCTGTCCACTTCCTCTCCTGGGAAACACACGACCACCAACAGTGTATCATCATTAAGTCCCCGTAAAATGAATGATTGAACAGCAGAAGGGGGATGGGATAGGGGGTCTGTGGGGGGAATGGGAGGGTGGGAGGGAGAGGGAATTGGGTTGATATGTAAATTAAGATTGTTTCTAATTTAAATAAAAAGAGGGTGAAAAAAATGATTAGATGAATTAGACTATTTTCCATTAACTCTTAATTATAAATGAAGTGAAAAGAAGACATAGTTGTTATGGTGAAATGTTAAGAAAAACGCAAGCGTAGAAACAGACACACGAATTCCTAAATAATGAGGCTTCTTTAATTGTCAGAGGTATAGGCATAGAAATCAGCATACCACTGAAAATATTTTTACCCTGCAGTATCTTGCTGTAAGTGAGATTTACATTTATAATGGTATCGCACAGTTAAGAGCATCATGAAATCATGTTGCTCTCCTTAGTCCCTTGATTTACAAACAGTGGTAGATAGCTATAGCAGGTGTCAGTGTTTCCATGTATCAACTTATAGATATGTCTATAAACGCTATTGTATCTATCAGAGAAGGTATTTTTTATACAACTAGCCACCTTACTCTTTCTTTTACCCCCCCCCCGCCCACTTTGGAAGTAGATAGGAAATATAAAGGGTAGAATGGAATGACCATGCCAGTTCTTAAGATGGCCACATGGGAAGAGGGAGTACTGGCAACAAGACGGAGCATGTGTAGAAGTACACAGGAGTCACCAAAGTGCTTCAAAGTCAACGCCGTTTCTGTGGATCTTTCGGTAAAGAGCTGTTTGCTTTATAGCAAGCAAACCTCATGTAACACTCTCTCCCGTTGGCCCAAAATTTAAGGTGCTATTAAACAGACAGCATGTGTGGCTTGAATAGGAAATGTCTCCCATAGAGACATGAGTCTATGGGAGGTGGTGCTACTTTGGGAGGATCTGGGGATTTTAGAAGATGGCTTAAAGAACTGTGTGACCCTGGGAAAGGCATGTTTTGGGGGATATATGCTGTCTGTAGTTCTCTGCTTCCTGCCCACTGTATTTAGACAGCACTTTCTCTTTCTGCCATGGAATTCTGCCTCATCACCAGCCCCCAACCAATGGAACCGAGGAACATGGATTTAAATCTCTCAAACCATGAGCACAAAGAAGTGATTTTTTCCCTTCAAGTTCTTTTTCAGGTATTTTGTCACAGTGAAGAGAAAAGCAATTAAGACAACGTTCAGTTACTATTTGATGAGTGAATGAAATGCTATAAACAAAATGCCAGAGAAAAGGAAAGTACTATTGTTAATAAAGAACAAGAAGAAGCAATCAGACTGTGAGAAAATGGAATAATGGGGGAAGTCTGAAACAAGTCTGAACTCTTTGAGTTGGTGACAAATTTGCTCCTGAGTTGCATGGAGCAGAATGAAGCAATATATCATGTAAGCAATTGAAAATATTTCTGCTGTTTGCCGTAGGTCATATCCATACTCCTGGATGAATTTATAAAAATCATGAGCATTATATATTAGATGTTCAGGGGAGGAAAGTTACTGACTATGCCATTCCTGACAGCTACTACACTAACAAATCCAAGTTAATTTTTTTCTGGTTGAAGCCTAGGGATATAGGGACATCACTGTACTGTATACTGCTTTGGTCACATATTTGAAAAGTGAGACAGAAAGTTTGTAGTAAATTGGAAATGTGCTAACATGTTAATAGCTACTACTTTGAAACGCCTTTCATCATTAGAAAAAAAATCCAAAGTCAATTGAAGTGCATTTATAGCCATTAGTTTGTAAGACCTTAAGTAATTAGATTTCTTCACTAGCAGAAGTTGTTCATTAGAATTACAACTGAGGCAACAGGGTCTCATTCTGTCTTTGTGACTCTGATTTCTGAAATACTTCTTTACTAGATGTGCAGTTTTGCATATAATCCAATAAGGCAATATGATCAATGGCTAGATAAATAGATGCTAAGTAGAGTAGAAAATTATTATTGTGTGATAAGGCAGTTAATATTTTATAATTTAAATAGTAATAATAATTATGATGACATTTTTCTATTGAACTAGGCTGTTTCTTAGGACGAGGGGGTTATCTTTTATTGTCACATCTCTCTGCTATCTTTTCTTTCTCATTTATGTCCAGTATCCTATGGAACGACAGGAAAGTTAGAAACTGCAGCTGATAGTTAACAAGTGTGACAAGTCATGCCTTCTCCAATAGTTTCCAATCATCTCAGTCAGAAAGGCATAATTCTGCAGCAATTGTAATTCTGAGCCAAGAATACCACTGTAATTGACTTCCTGACTTGAGGAATGTGTTTCTGTTTGCTACAGTGTAACCAAAGAGATATATAAAGTGACCTTCCTCATGTTTCAAGTTACCTTCACATCAGTCAGTTCAACCATCATGCTTTGCTTAGGTAGGCTTTTATTTTATTTTCCCCTCTAGGCATATTATTCAATACAAACAGCAAACAGCATACCTTAATTTTGGTGAAACTTGGGTGCAATTTCTGAGAATCCCTTGATGATTCTGGAGTGTATACTGCACTTTCCACTGTATATCTCACTGGACATGATGTTGTCTCTCAGTTCTCTTACCTCTCAGTCATTACTGTCCAGGATTCACAATGAAGCTTTTATTTAAGTAGTTTGAGGATTTCATACATGCATATAATTTATTTTCATGAAATCCATCTTCTATTCCAGTCTCCACAATTCCTTCCCTATGTCACCCACCACCATTTCCTCCCACGTACTGGATTGTTCACACTGAGTGAGTCTACTTAGTGATATCACACTGTAGGGCCAACTACTGAAGCATGATAGCCCTTCAGGAGACATATCTCTGAAGAAAACTGACTCTCCTTCTCCCAGCAACCATCGGTTGTTGAAAGCTCCTCAGCAACTGTCGGTTGTTGAAAGCTAGGGTTGGGACTTTGTGACCAGCTCCCTGATTTGTGCTGCTTTGATCCTGTGTAGGCCACACTCATTAGTCACAGCCTCTGTGGGTACAATGAAGCCTCATGATCCAGACATAATGGCTAGTTTTTCCTTTCCTTCCACAAACGTATCTTTCTGTTAAAGCATGGACTTTGCAATTTCTCTTTGCTTTTGTGAAATATCCCCATAATCTCAGGCATTACACTATTATCCCTCAATTGCTGGTGATCGTAGGGAGGGTTAGGAGGCATGTCCTTTCTAGAGAAAGGATGCCACTTGGGACAGGCTTTGAGATTTTAAAAGGCCGGTCATTCTAGCTTCACTACCTCTGCTTCATAACTACACTTATGGTCCAAGTGTGAGCCCTTAGGTGTCTGCTCCTGCCGTCATCTTCAATTCCCCATCAGGTTCTCAACACCCTGGAACCACAGGCCTAAATAAACCCTTTCTTCTATAAGTCGCCTTGGTCATGGTGTTTTTACAGCAATACAAAAGTAATTAACTCAACTTTGTATGCAAATTTTAACTCTCTCTGCAGATGACTGCCAAAATTCAGTCTTTGTTGACCATACTCACAGCAACTGACAGTAATTACTTTATTATGATTTTAACCACTGTAAGAACTTGTTATTAAGTTTAAATGAGGTTATAAAATATGTCACTTTTTGACATTTATTTTGTGTGGGCATGGTTGAGTGTGTGCAAAAATGTCATGTTGTGACTGTGGAGGTACAAGTAAATAAATAAATAAACAAACAAATAAATAATAAGCAACTTATTGGAGTTGGTTTTTTTCTAATATGTGGAGCTCGAGGAACTGAGTTCAGATCTTCAGGCTTGGCACAGAGAGTCTCTACACATTAAGTCATCTTGAGCACCCAATATTCATCTTTATTGTTTAATTCCTTGTACTTAAAGCCTATAGCTGACATCCAACTGAAAATTGATACTTTGTATATAAAATGAATAAATGAATGGATGTTGTATTAGGGAAAATGTTTTGGATGTGGACTAAGTACCATATATGGATTTAAAAATCACATTTCTTCACTTGGCATGCATTCTGGCAGTCTAGAACCTTAGCAAACTGTACTCAGTGAAAAAGCATCACATAAATCAACTGTTGGCTTGGAATGCAGTCTCTCCTTCTTTTTACCAGAATGTACACTTAACAACAGATCTCCAGGTGATTCACACACGCATAAAATCCAAGAAATATTGCTCAAGGATTTATCTGTTTGTTGTCTTCTGGTTTGAGCAGAATCAGACTTCCTCTTTAAAGGGCAACCACAAAAATTGAGTCTTATATTTTGTAACTCTTGCTTTTCTGGGGGGACATACTTTGTGCTTCTTTTCACACAAAGAATACACAGAGGTGAAAACTGTGCTATAACAAATCATTATTAGATATCCATTTTGTTTAATGAATGTTGTATACATTCATCTTAGCTAATTCTCAGACTTAACATTCAGACATAGCAATCAATGTTTTTTTAAAATTGTTTTTAAATTCAATTTTTAGTAATGAACCCAGAGCCTTGTAAATAGTGCGTACATACTACGACACTGAGCTACAAACCAGGATCAACTATTCTTTTTATTAACTTTAAATGAAATTTAGAGTTATCAAGCGTTGGCTATTTGTAACAAACAGCAGAAGTTTCACTAAAGTGACCGAGACAGTAACCAATTACCCAGTCTTTTTTTAACTGTATAATGTTAAGAACTAAGACACTAAAGCAGTTGATGGATTGACCTTGTCTACAAAAAAGTCAATAAATTGGTACTCTGGAGTTGCTTCTCCAAAAAGTGATGTTTGGTGGCAACTACACACTCCCTCAGCACGTTGGTAGTGCTAATCTTTGTATGCTTATATTCTGGGCTCATAGCCACTTAACAAACAATAATGAATCTGTGAGACTTGAGAATCATTTATTTCTTTGATTTTGTTTACATGAGGTCTTTAATCAATGTGACAAACTGTACATTGGAACTGTGTTCTTCCAAATCCCCAACACCCAGAGCTAAATCATATGGGAATCACT